ATAGGTTATTACAGAATACTGAGTAGTTTCCTGTGCTATACAGTAGGCCCTTCTCGATTATCTATTTTATATACAGTAGTGTAGGTTAATCCCGAAGCCCTAATTTATCCCCCCCCACCTTCTCCTTTGGTAACCATAAGTTTTCAAAGTCTGTGAGTCTGTTTCTCTTTTGTAAGTTAATTTGTATCATCTTTTTAGAGTCCACATATAAGTGATATCATGTTTTTGTCTTTCTCTGTGTGGCTTACTTCACTTAGTACGATCATCTCTGGGTGCATCCATGTTGCTGCAAATGCCATTATTTCATCTTTTTTATGTCTGAGTAACTCCATTGTGTGTGTGTGTGTGTGTGTGTGTGTGTGTGTGTACACATATAACATCTTCTTTATCCATTCCTCTGTCGATGGACATTTAGAAAACCCCACTAAATTTAAAAGCTTACTTGCCAGCTGTTTCCAACAGAAGACACCTGACAAAATGCTACTGTGCTCAGCAAATCAGAGCTTAGCAAGTCATCCCTGATTATGACCGGACCGTCTGAGAAACAAAAGGGAAGCACAACTGGCAAACAAATTTACAGTGTAAATCTGCTAAAAGAAGCCCACACTCACTAACTAGGATGATATACCCTTTCTTGTAGGGGTGGGGGGCAGGGGGAGGTAAGAAAAGAGAGTGAAAGATGAGAAAAGGGACCACGTATTCGTTCACTGATTTATTTACTTCTGAAAAGAAAGAACATCACCACAGGGTGAAGCCAAGCTACAAAGTGAATCTCATTTTTCAAACAAATACATTCGTCTCCAAAAGGTGTAAGCAAGATGGGAATAGTCAGTCCAAAAGATGAATAATAACAGATTAAAAAAAAAAAATCCTAGGAAGCAAGAGCAAACGTCTGATGAGGAAAAAGCACACCTGCTTGGCAATCTGCTGCGATTGATTTGAAAAAGAAAAAATAGCATTATGTGTAGAGCAGGCTGTTAACACACGGCCTTCTTAGACTTTTTTTAAACTCTAAGGTTTTTTTCCTAATGTTTTCGAAGCCCACTGACCCTCAGGAAATTGGTGTAATGGGTACTGCCCTCACCGGGCCAGTCGACAAGGCATCTTTCCTTCGTGAGCCAGAGAAGAAATAGAAAAGTCTTTGGTCTCTCTTGATGGACTAAGCACTTCCAAAGAGAAGCTTAACGAACCAGGAGTGAAGTGGCCACACTGGCAGGACGCCGACTCCTGCAAAGTGAGCTGAGAGCTGTGCAGCACTGAACTCACAGGTTTACTTGGTTAATCCAAAGCAACTGACTTTGACTGCAATCTTAGCTTTCTATGTAGTTGGCCCGGTCAAGTACAAGCACCCTATGAGAACAATCACCAGAAATTTCCACTAAGGAAAAGACATAAAATGATGCATTTGCTGATTACAAAGTTACTACTAGCAGGATCCACACATGACTACATGACTGACCACCCAAAAAATTAAAGAAACAGCTTCTCTGAGCCACCGGGCAGCTGAACATAGCTGTATAAACAGGACAGTGGAAGGACCTCCATTTTTCATTCTGAATGGAACCCATTTTTCATTCTTTCCTTCTGAAAGAGGCACGTGCACTTTCTTGGCTTGGGGCAAACAATACACCAACCAGATAAACCTGATTACATTCTTTGTGTAAGAGAACTTCCAAGTCTTGTTAGCAATATTTCACACAGTAAAGAAAAATCTCCCTGTGATGTATTTCTGAGGGTACCCTAGCATTCACAGTGGTTTAAAAGCCACTGAGAAAGACATGTCAAATGCTAATGAAGGAAAATCACTTCTCCTTCCATTTGTATCCCCAGCACCAAGGTTAAGGGGCCAAGTTCTTAGTGTAAATGACCCTAAAGCCAACGAAACAGTCTTGGAATTATAAAAATACTAAAAATTGCAGCAGGAAACACTAAACATTTAGCTCAAAATGTCAAGAACAACATGGATAGGCCCACAATTCACCTGGGACCCTAGAAAGCACTGGGTTTGCTAGAATGATCGGGGTTTCTATCCAAGGGCCAATCAGTCACTGCAGGGACCAAATGCAGATAATCGTGAACTCCAGGCTAGCATCCCCTTGCTATACATTCGGCCCCTTTATGAGCTTTGCTCTTCGTCTGCAGCTGGGCATGCTGATCCCACTTAAGCACAGGAAAACTGGGAAGCTATTGTCTGTCATAAGTACAACTGGAGCTGTTAGGGGGTGTGGGATTATGCATGCTCTTTCAGACCACACACTCATGTACAGGGTAACAGAGGAGCCATCTGAGGGCTACCAGACAGCTGTATCTAAAAGTCCGATGTGCCAGAGGGGACAGCAGCAGGACTTGCCTGGTGGTGTAGTGGTTAAGAATCCACCTGCCAATGCAGGGGACACAGATTCGATCCCTGGCCTGAGAAGATCCCACATGCCTCGGAGCAACTAAGCCCGTGCGCCACAACTACTGAGCCGGTGCTCTAGAGCCCGTGAGCCACGACGACTGAGCCCTGTGCCACGACTACTGAAGCCCGCGTGCCTAGAGCCCGTGCTCTGCAACAAGAGAAGCCACCGCAATGAGAAGCCCGTGCACCAAAACGAAGAGCAACCCCCTCTCACCACAACTAGAGAAAGCCCGCATACAGCAATGAAGACCCAACACAGCCAAAAATAAAATAAATTTTAAAACGCGAATGCAGGACCTCTCCACACGATACAGGGTCAGCAGAGACACTGGATGCCCCACTGCACTTAATTCGTCTCTAACCACTTTTGAGAGAGACAAGACCTTCCAAAGGAAGGCCTCAGTATCTCAGTTTCCAACATATTTTGGGCTTGACAGAATATGTAACTTAGCAATTTAAGGATTATGTAGAGACCCTCGAACGACATTTGAGGGGAAATTTCCTCATCTAAATCCACAAGATGTGTTCTAACACTTGGAAGAGGCTGGTGTACCAACGACGGCACTGTATGTCCGGGCTCTTGTTACAGATCCCTGAGAGAGGCCTTGTTCTGGACAGGGCGTTCACTGACTCACGGGGACACTTTAGCCAACATCGCTTATGGAGGCTGCATACTCAGGACAGATAAGCCACTCGTACAGATCGGACCTGACCTGGCTCACGGATCACAACGCAGAACTCAACGCCGGGCTTCAGAACAGACTCCTTATTCCACGTGTGGCTGGGTTACTGCTGGTGTGGGCTGCATCCCCCAAAGTTAATTTAGCTTTCGAAGTCCACATGTTCCATAAGAATTGTACATTATTTTAACGAGAGGCTAATGATGACTCGTAAGTAGCTAAGCAAATCAGAGTAGGGTTACAGCAGGGCAGGCGGGCCAAGGGGGCAACGTTAGAACTGCACGTTTTTTTAAATTTTTATACAAATATATATTTATTGAAGTATGCTGATTTACAATGTTGTGTTTCAGGTGTACAGCACAGTGACTCAGTTATATACGTGTATATATTCTTTTTCGGATAATTTTCCCTTTAGGTTATTACACAATATTGAGTATAGTTCCCTATGCTATACAGTACTGTAACTTTAAAATTAAGCTCCGAACCTGCAGTGGCACATGGCTACAATTAGGAACAGCAGACGGTAAGAGGAAGAGGTTGGGGGAGAGGCTTGGAGCACATAAGCCCGCTACTCTGGGGACCCCAGCACACTACTGTGAGCGGCCTGCACAGGGCCTTCTGAACCAGGGTGCCACGGGCAAAAGAGCTGCCGGGAGCGGCCTGACATGTATGACGGCTCTTCTCTTCACTTCTTCCATCTTGAAAGGCTTCCTTTCCACATCTGGAGGTAGCATCTGAGGCGCAGGTAGGATGCTCGGTAGCAGGCAAAGACAAGGATGCTCAGCCGTGACCCACATCTGTCCCCACCTTGAACTGAGCAATGCAGGGGACAAAACGATGGAGAGAGAGCTTACCTCCTCTTTTCTGCTACTTGAAGATTTTAAAAATTCATTTATCCAAATCACTAGAGTTAATAACTCTGGAAATAGTAAACAAGAATCATCTGAGGGCTTGGGTCAGCTTTCACAAACATGTCAGGCTTCCCCAAGGGCTTATTTTAATTCCAGCAGCCCAGTCTTGCCCACTTGAAGTCCGGTTACTGGAAAAGGCATTTGCCGTCAAAGAAACACCACACACGCAGCTTTAAACCAACTGTGTGATTTTTATTGATGGGCGACAACTTTATACTCCTAGCTGTCACTAACTGTGTACATTAGAGACACGGCATCGCAGAAGAGCAGACAGCAGAATTAGACAGCAGACGCACGGAATTATCAATCTTCATTATTTTGCCCATTTTTCACTATGTGTACACAGAAGCATGAATGCAATTTGAAATCTTTTAATGGCAATAAAGTTACAATCACCCATCTATGTGACTGACATCTTAACTCCAAATATTTGATCTGCAATGTGTACGTAAGCAGCTTCTCATCGCACAATTATTAAAATGTATTTTTCCTATTAGGAACCAGCAACTCATTTTATGTGTTTGTTTATCTTTTGAAGTAAGAACTATTTCTTCTCTGATAACTGGCTCATTTTTATCATTTATCAAAAACTAAAGGGTGAGGGAAGAAAGTGTGGTGGATTAAAAAATTTATTTTTTTAAGGAAAGATAAAATTCATTTTCACAAATTTACAAGTGTTGTTGCTGGTGCAGGATTTATTCTACTATGCAGTTAGACTGGGAATCAAATGCAAGTTCCCCTTCTTACTCAGGAATCGGCATTATTTCGGAAATGTGGTTTTTTGTGTATTTGCTTAAATCAAGCGACAGTCTGTCTCAACCAGATGATTTTGATTTGGAAGTTAGAAAACATAAACTATGTTGTGCACAAACCCCAGGCATCTCCTTTCATTCTAGCCCATTTTTGCAACAGGAAGAAAGAGTTTCTCTCTAAAGAGCCACTAAAGAGAGGAGGGGAGTCGGTGAGAGCCGGTGCTCTACAAGCAGCGTCGGGCACACACAGCGGCGGCTACAGCAGGTCCACGCGGCGGTAATACAGGAGGTAGGCTGTGCGCTCGGCAGCGGGCTTCACCACCTGGTACTGGTTAATCACCTTGACCGTCTGGTCGTCGATGCGCAGCCAGCCATTGAGACCGATCTGGAAGACGTCCGTGGTGTAGTGGCCGCCCGTGGCGCTGCTGCCGTGGTGGTAGACCACTGCAAGAGAGGGCCCGGGCGCCCGTGAGAGCGGCTCCGCACACCAGCGCCTAAGGTGCCCGCCTGCCCCCGCCACAGACCTGCCTGTCCCACGAAAGGCCTGGCACCAAGGCAGGTGGGACAGAGAAGTGGGATTATACAAAGCAATGCTGTTTCAACTCAAAACCGTTCAACAATCTACAATACAAAGTCATACATCTACATCTTAATAACATATTTAAAATGCTCAATACCTCACACACTATAAAAGAAATGTCAACTAATGGGGTCGTCCCATCTGTCAGCCCTGTAGGCAGGCTCGTCAGCCGCCTTAAGACTTGATACAGGAGACAGTCCCCTGGGAAGCAGGACAGAGACGCTCCCTGCAGAGCCATCAGCCAATGGCCCTCTGGGAACGCACACCGAGGCCCAAACATCAGGCCCTGATCCAGCCAATTCCACTTCCAGACTGTTCTCAACAGAGTATCTGAATCTTGGACAGAGTGAAAACATGGAAAAGCCTATATTCACACTAGAAGGAATGCTGAGTGCATTACATTACAATAAGGTGAATTTTTTCGTAGACCAGATTAAAAGTATTTGGTGGTGTAAGAATATGCTTACATTACATGAAAAATACAAGAATCTGAGGTTTTCTGTGGACTGTCTCCCGTGACAAGGACAGCACCGCCCCAGGAGGGTCACCAGCGCAGTTAGCTGGGCTGAGTGGGCAGTTGTAGAGTCACCCTGCAGACACCAGTCATTGCTCTTTTTTTCTTTTAAAAAAAATTTCCAATTTTTCTACTACCATGTTCATTAAAATTGTATAATTCAAACAGGAAGCCTTAGTCAGAGGTCTACAACAAATATAACTGTCGGAAGATGCTGAAGAGGTATTAAAGACAGTGGAAGGGCACATCCTCCCCCTTCTATGCAGAGAAGGGGCTGGGAGGTGGCCCAGCCAGCAGCAGACCTGACCCTGTGTGAGGGAAACAGCCTCCAGTGACATTCCAGGGCGGGGGGCAGCAGTGTGGCCAGGGTGAGCTGTGCGTTGCCGTGAGTGGCATGAAGGACAGTCACTTGGAGAGAGGGGCACAATCTGGTACGAAATTTCAGCAATAAATAGCCTGAACGTCAGCACGCTCCCCGACTTGTAGGGACATCCAAATCCACCCAGAGCTGGGCTCTGCGCAGAGGCCATTCTGCGGGGGCTCAGGGGATACTGAGGCCCTGGCCCGCCAGTGACGAACGTGACCGGTCACTGAGGGGCGGCAAGGCTGTTGGGCTATCAAGTGGGAAACCAGCAAGAGAACCAGCAGCAGCTCACGGCTGCATGTAGTCCTGCAGGTCACAGCGATGGAGAGGCTGCCGCAGGGCAAGGGGAGCCCCGACACCAGCATGTCCCTCTGTCCCCAAATCCAGCTGTGGGGCATCTGTCCTGGATTTTCACCTCTAAGACCTACCAGACTTGGTTTTGGTTTTTTAAAGTGACGGGTCAGTAGGATTTAAAGGACCTGTGGGTTTAAGTGATTTGCGTTTCCTCTACGACCTCACTTTAAATCTTCAGAAGAGAAGCGCCCTACCCGTATTCAGGTTTCTCAAGCAGCAGACCTGTACCTAACACGGGGATGGGTCACAGATGCCCAGCAAGCCCACATCACAGAAGCAGAGCCGAGAATGAGAGTTTTCCAAAAGCTCACGCACTATACTAACTCATTTTCTTTGTCCCGCAATCAAAACCATTTTTAAAAGCACCTCTTTACTCACAGTTTACAGAAAACTGCAACCAATCCGGTGACCATATTTCTGAGATTCGAAGGCTCAGATTCAGGGGTGCAGGCGAGAGCGACTCCAGAAGGAGCCCCGGGCCGGGGCGGGTGGGAGGGGTAGGGGTGCACTCACACCAGGGCCCCCTGACCAGGAGACAAGACTTGCTAACCCTGCCCTCGATCATCACCTTGCCCTGCAGGGACCCAAGGGAGGCTGCAGGGAGACTCGGAGAAACACGTCATCACCCTTGGACCTCAGTGCCAAACCCCAGGGAGCCAGGCTGGACCCTGGGGGCCCTCTGGTCTCAGAGGAAGACCACAGAGAGGCCTCCGAGCTTCCAGCCCAAGGCAGGTCAGGGGGAGGGTGGCTACACGCCGGGAGTGTGTTGCCCACCAGGTCCGTGATCAGCCACCTCTGGGCAGAAGAGCGAGTTGGAGGGAGCAGGTCCTGGTGGGAGGAAAGGGCCAACTGGGCTCAACACCTTCTAACCTGGCACCCGACCCACCCAACGACCAGGGCCCAATCCAACATCCCAAGAGCTCAGGGGTGGACCGAGGGCAGGAGTGTGAAGCTCTGCTCTGCCACTTAAGGGCACAGAGCGGCCAACGTTCCTCCACGAGTTTCAGTTTGTCCTTTTACAAAATGGGGATAGCGCCACATACCTCTCAGGACACTGTAAGGACTAAATGAGATACTACATAAAAAGTATCCAGTGAAAAGGCTCAATGAACGTGTGAGGGCCAATAAACAGCAGTCACTACAGACAGGCTCACCAAAGGCAACACAAAAGTAGCGGTGGGAGAGCAGCTAGAAAATTCTAAAAAAAACAGCCAGGCAAGCAAACACAACCGTTCCAACCAGCAACTCTTAAAAGACACATAAGGCCTCAAAGGCATAAAAGATGCGGGCTGTAAAAGAGAAAGAAGGATGGAAGGACGGGAGGCAGAGAAGATGGACGGGCTCTGCGGGGAGCTCTGGGGGGTCAGGAGATCGTGGGCGACTGAGGAGCCCACGCTCCTCCAGCCTGGCTGGGGCCACGCCTCAGCACCCACTCCTACAGGCACCACGGCCGCGGCAGGGAGGGTTCCCAGCCTGGCAACCCCACACCTCTGGCTCCAAGACAGAGACAGTCGTGTTAAACGACATCTCACGTTGGGCTGAGCTTTAGAGCCAAGAGAATATTCTGTCAAATTCCAAACACACCAAACTTTAGGTAAAACACACATTTTCAAATGATTTCCGGACTTATAAGGTCCACAATACCAATAATCTATTCTCTACGTTAAGTGGCATTACAACAAAATTGTGCCAGGGTATAAACCTTTTCATCATTGCTTTAACAGGAAAATGTACAAATTTACTTACCTGCAAATAGCCTATAGGTTCTGTGGCATTTAAAATTCTTATTTTTAACCCCTGGAGAGAGCAGTTCTGAAAAACAAAATATCAAGAGCTTTAATCTATAAAAGCGCTGACACACAGAGCTCCCAGAAAGGGGCAGACAGCAGCCTCCATTCAACTAACCCACCCAGTGGACCAGGGAGACCAAACAGAAATCCATCCCCTCATTTGCATAAAAACTGAGCAGCGAGGAAGACCAGCTGCAGGGTAGTAATGGAGGTCACCAGAAGCCACCCATCAGAGCACAGGGGCATATACTGAGCCTCTGGCTCATGCTAGAAACCCCTTACAAGCAGATGTTCTAAAAAATGGGAAAGAAAAAAACAAAAGCAAAGCAGCCCTGGAAAGCCTAAAGTTTAAAATGTTTTACACGTGAGTCAGACCACAAAACTCCAATCAACAGTAAGATGATTTTCAGCTGGCGTTTCTTCCCCTTTCCAGTCCTCAAACGGACCATGAACTGGCACAGGAGGCAAACCTATCAGCACGAAGGTGGCAACTCGTGAGAACAGGGCTGAGAGCCAGAGTCCGAATCTTAGGGGGAAGGCAATGCAACGTGCCTGGGTGCAGGTGAAGCGATGGTGACCCCAGGCCCACTACCCGGCATGTCCCAGTGCCGGGCAGCGTGGGGAGGGAGGAGGGAGGAGGATGGCAGTTTGCTCCTCCAGGAGACCAGGGACGACAGCCCATGTCCTCTTTTCTGTTCTCCAGGCCCCCGGACACTTTGAGCATCGCCTCTAGCTCGTTACGTTCCTGATCGAACTTCACTGTTGCACAGAACATTTCTCACAAATTCTGAAGCTTTCCAGCGAAGTTTTCCTTCAAGCTCACTTTTAGCACGACAACTAGGTGCTTTCAGCACGATGCGCCCAAGCTGCCGAGCCCTGGAGACCTGGCGGAGACCCGGGGCTGGGGCTGCAGCTCTAAGGCCAGGGTCCCTGCCGCCGGAGGGCAGGGGAAGCCCCGGGGCCCGCGGGAAACACTCCCCACCCGCTAAAAAGCCCAGTTAGCCAGGCTGCTCCACACAGCTGTTAACGCCTAGTATAAGGAAGAGTATTTCCTACCACTGACCCATAAACTTTTTATATTTAGTATTTTTCTTACCTAGTAATACTTTCATATGATTTATTTTTGCCTTTATTTCTAAAAGGCCATTTTAGGGCTTCCCTGGTGGCACAGTGGTTAAGAGGCCGCCTGCCAAGGCAGGGGACACGGGTTCGTGCCCCGGTCCGGGAAGATGCCACATGCCACGGAGCAGCTGGGCCCGTGAGCCACGGCCGCTGAGCCTGCACGTCCGGAGCCTGTGCTCCGCGACGGGAGAGGCCACAGCAGTGACAGGCCCACGTACCTCAAAAAAAAATAAAATAATATAAAATAAAAATTTAAAAGGCCACTTTAGTGAGAAATTTTAACCTAAAGGTCTATTAACAGTCAAGAAATTTAAAACAAAAAAGTCATGAAAGAGAAGAGCTTCTGAATCCTGACATGACAGAAAGTGCTGAAGCGTCAAGAAGCTGGCTGATCTCCAGGGCACTGTCACCATAAACGCTTTTGCCTTACAGAGTCATTACCTTTACTAATTTCCAAGTCCACAGGATATTCAATATTTTTGATAAGCTTCTGACATCCACCTGTCTTCTCGTAAACAAACCGTTTCAGGTGCAGCACGAGGACAGGAGGGAGCTTTTCCAGAGTCACCCTTCGACTGATCTCAACCTGAGACACACAAAGCACACAGGAAACGCCATCTTACTCCGAGCGGCAGACGCCACCCCACCTCTCGCTCCAAGACTCAAATGTTCTGGGGCAGTGCTTCTCAAAGCTTCCTGAGTCACAGGGTCTTTTGAGAATCTAATGGGATCTTTTGAGAGGTACTGACCTTCCTCTTAGAAAAATGCATATATCCCTACAGACACAACTGCAGGGGGTCCCAAAGGTCCCTGAGCCAAGTTAAGAACCTTTGTCCTAGGGCATTAAATTGGCATAAAAATTTAGAAGCTAACTTAGTAATACCTTGAATTACATATGTATTAACTTATTTTTAAATAACTCTCACAGTACTGATAAAGCCGAAGCCAATGTGTTTCTTGAATTAGACGCTCTAGACAACTCCAAAGCTATTTAGTGTAACCACTGGTTTTTATAACAGTTCTGCTTTTATCAATTCAAAATGCCCCTTATGAACTTTCACGGTCTACTGAACACTGCTTTTGATTAAAATGCATCTTCACAAGCAAACTTAACCCCTTTATGTACTGTTCTCTGTATCTGCAAACGTGTTGATGCTTCCAGTATTTAGACAGAGAATACTTTCGGTAGAAATACTTGTCCACGTAACAATCCGAAAGACAGCGGCATATAATAAACACCCAGAAAGCTTTCGGAGGACTACACGCGTATCTGGCTGAAGGTACCTGAAGCAAGCCTAGCGGTCACCGCCAGCTGGTTTATTAGTATTAGGGGTGAAGACCCTTTCAGGCCTGTCTTCCCACCCAGACTGAGGTCCCAGGCATGGAAATGGCCCGATCACCTCGACATTCCCATTGAGTCTCTGCAGTCGTGTCTCACATCCAAGAATTGTGAATGAAGAAAAAGCATGACTCCAGTTCCACAGTCAAAACCAGCGATGACGATGTAAGACTCCAGCTTCCTCACTTGTAAAATCATAGTCAGACTAAAGTACCTCTGGGATGGTTTCTCAGTGCTAGTGACGCGCGATTCTGTTCGTTAAGGGGCTAATCTCAAATCCTTAACTGAGTGTTCCGGGTTTCCAGAGAAACTGAGCCACACTTTCTAACACCCAACAAACCCAGACCTTTTTATTTAGCTAGTATCTTGTATAATCATATTTTCCCACGATCTTCCTGTGTTCCCACAGAAAAACAACTTTTGACCTAAAAACCTAATAAAATTAAAGTAGGTACTTCAAAAAGTAAATTAGAAAATCACATTCCAGAAAATGTGTTACTTGCTCCTCACAGACACGCTGTACAAGCTCATTCCTCAGACACCTGCTTCCACAGCCACGGAGCAAGAACGGCCAGCCGCCTTCTCTGCCGTCTTCAAGACTCCACCAAGATGCCACTTCTTCCGTGACTCCTTCCTCCAAACCTGCCATCTAGAATCCATCACCTTTTCCTCACCCTCCTCTGACCCTAGGCCAACAACCACAGCCACCGCTACCTCAGTCATCACGCCCCACCCACCTCTGCCCAAACAGCAGTTTAACTGCAGCAGGAGCAATCGAGGAAAACAGACATATCCCCAGAGGGCTGTCCTGGGAGCGCAGGGAAAGGCTGCCCTCCTCCCCAGCAGGATCGGCGGCTCCAGTGGGGAGGGGCCAGGATGGCGAGTCCACCTCTGGAGACACCGCTGCCCCAGACGAGCAGGTGGACAGTCCCACAGCCAGTACGTGACCCGGCCTCCCGAGAACAAGTACCCACTCTCTCTCTCCCATTAAGTTCCACCGTTTCTCTAAGGAAAAACTGCCGGGATTCTCTTCCGGCTCCTACCACTTTTACTTTTTGAACAAAATTGCCCACGAGAAGCAATTAGAAGACACGGGGGAGAACTAAGCCTAACTTCTGCAGATGCCCCGAAAGGCTGGCTTGACCAACCAACTCACAGTGGACGGACGGACGCTCTCCACACCCCGCCTCTGCTCCTCTTCACGTGGGTGGAGCCCGAGCTGCGAGGCAAGAGCAGCGCCCTTGGCCCCACGAGGTGCTGGCAGGTTTCCTACACTGGGCCGTGCTGGCTCACCCTGTAGCCGCCACACACGGCTACTGAAATCAGGCCTCACAGGAATGCTCTCAACTGTTCAAAAAGGCACCGCCCTAGCCAGTCTACATTCATCTCCCCAACACACCTCTATGAATGCACAGCCACGACCTAGGATACATAACAGAGAAGGCACGCTCTACTGCGGAGAAGTCGGGCCTAACTGGCACATCTGGACGGCCAGCAGCTAACAAGAGGGCAGGGAATTATCGCCTCTCTCGACGGAGCTGACACGCTTCCTCTTGACTCCTGAACGCTGAAAGACTCGAGACTTTATCTTTTTTTCAGATCAAATCAAAGAGTTAACAGGCACCAGAACAATTACTTTCTATTTTTCAACGACCTTGAAGATCTACAATCAAATGCAAACCAGATTAGAACATCATCTTTTATATCCTAACTATCTCATGAAATTGTGCTCTATGGTATCAGGAATGTGAATGAGTTATCGGCCTTTGTCGGAGGTGGTATTCACTCTACGGTGCCATGACTGGATAGCCAGCAAATGAAACGCAGCTCAGAATAAATAACCCCAAAGATTGTGACCTGTGTTTCATGACTTAGAGCCAAGGAAACTTGGGAGGATCATCTGTTTCAACCATTTCATTCTCAGAATGTGGAAGCTTTCAGTCCAAAAAAAAGGGTAAGCAACCGATTTGAGAGGCAGAGCTGAAACCCACTTCTCCTCATTCCAGAGTCTGTGCTCTTTCGCCCACCCCAGAGGGCCCCCGGATAAAGATCCAAGACCAACTGTGAACGTACCTCTTGTTTGGTTTTGGTGGTATAACCCTGGACAGACTCTCTTGCCACCAGGCTTTCCAATGCATCCTGGACGGTGCGTATCTTGTCCGACTGGATATCCAGCTGCAGCGTGAAGAATGGCTGCAGGGTGGCAGATTCTTTTGAACTCTGCTGGTAAACCACAGACCTGAAAGTGGAAAACACACCGCATCTAAGAGCTCGCCTTCCCACTCTCCCCGAGGTTATGCAGCAGGACAAGAGCAACAAACACTGCAAGCGAGATCACTCAGTGTCGCCGCCAGAAGACCAGAGAGAACAGAAATGCTAAAAACACACCCAAGAATTTTAAAATAATTCCACTCAATACCACCTCGAAAGAATTTCTATCAACTCAATCCACCAGCTGAAAAATTTCCCAGCTTAATAGCTCTGGAAGAAAACCTATTTCACCTTCCAAATGCCTCCTCTCCACTTTATTTAATGCAGATTAGCAAAGGTGACAATCTTCCCAGAGTCAAAATGCTGACACTTTTTATCCTCTCAGGCGTCACAGCCTGTTGTAATAAAAAAGAGGAAACCCCGAGGTAAACAGAATGATTTGGATAGCATCTCCCCTATGAAAACGACTTTTCAAAGGAAGGGGAGCAGGGTGTGTGCGACAGGAAGGTGGCCACCACCCTCAAGGAGGAGGCTGCCAGCTGAGCCTTGCTTCCTTAGCTGGGTTTTCATCTCACTTTTCTTTGTCCAAGTTTTTCTGAGTAAAACTTTGTGTTGGGCCCACGTCTCACGTAGCCTCAGCAAGATGTTCCAGGAGTTCAACGTGGGATTGTCTCTCTGCAGCCTGAGTGCCCCAGTTTACACACGAATAAAAGGGGTGGACAGGTAGTCAGACTGCTGCGAAGGGCAGGCGAGTGGCTCTGTTGCCAGCTTTCCGTCTCACACACTGCTTTCCCGACACACAGCACAGGAGGCACCTCCAGGCTCCCTGTGAGGAGGAAGCCTTGAGGGGGCGGCCGTTCCCTTGGTTCCAGAGAAGAATAGTGGGAAAATAGTGGGAACAGCAGTAATGGGCCTGGACTTTAGCAAAAGGGCGGACAAGGTGGAGAAAGGTGCTAGTCTTTCTGGGGTAACTGGAAAGGCACCAAAAGAGCATGTATTTTAGGAGAAAACCTTTCAGTTGGTCTGAATAAAGAATAATGCTTGGGAGTTCCCTGGTGGTCCAGCGATTAGGATTCCGTGCTTCCACTGCTGGGGGCCTGGGTTCGATCCCTGGTCGGGGAACTAAGATCTCGCAGGCCACACACCATTAAGAATCATGCTTAGGGCTTCCCTGGTGGCGCAGTGGTTGAGAGTCCGCCTGCTGATGCAGGGGACACGGGTTCGTGCCCTGGTCCGGGAAGATCCCACATGCCGCGGAGCGGCTGGGCCCGTGAGCCATGGCCGCTGAGCCTGCACGTCCGGAGCCTGTGCTCCGCAACGGGAGAGGCTACAGCAGTGAGAGGCCCGCGTACCGCAAAAAAAAAAAAAGAAAGAATCATGCTTAATGGTACCTACTACACACACAAAAGCAGCTCCTAAGTTACAAGGAGTAGTTCTGTATCTTTGCTTTATAGTTAAAAAAAAAAAAAAATCAACACCCAATTTCAAGGCCAAGAGCCTACAGAGAGGCTGAGGCTACAGGGCCGTGAAGTCATCTGGGGCGCGCTAGCGATTCCTCCAAAGTGGATTCTACTTTTTCCCACTGCTTATTCTCAAACACATTTGGGATCTTTGTCGCCTTGCAATCCGGTTGCTGTGCCTCCCCACAAACACGGAGCCCTCATCACAGCCACTGGTCCGCACCCTCGTTTCTCCCCCACCCTCAGTGAGCACCCCGAGGGGGACAACATCAGGCTGCTCGGCTAACAAAGAGTTAAGCGCGCAGACAGCCTCCTCTCACTGCTGGTCACCAAACTGGAGCCCCACTTCCCTCTCCCAAAAGGGCCCTTCCCAAGGATCTGCATCTGGCGAAAACAAGCTGCAGCCATAGGGGTGGGGCTGGGTGTCAGGAGGCTGACACGAGACTCCACAACAGAAAGGGGCCTGCAAAGTCTAGCTCACAGCCGAGGGCACAGAAATGACGTGTTCAGTGTCGTGTGACCAGCTTGGGAGGGGGTCGGGCACATTTCTGAGGATTTCATTAGCCTGTGGCAAGGTGCTCAACCTAAACTGTTTTAGAGCAGAGAGACTGAACTGACTTTTGATGCCTCGAAAAGGGTGTTACTTCTTGTTCTGGGAGGACGAAAGGCTAAGAGGCTCACTAAAAGAACTAAAACCACACTCCTGTAGGTGAAGCTGTAAGGTCTTCAGAAGGAAATGATGCTATAATGCGGTCCTTGCAGCCTCTGGAGGGGTGAGGAGGTCCTCGCGGTCAGTGCAAGTTCTACTGAATTCCACATAATGGCGGCACGAAACAGCTCTAACGTAAATAAGTAAAAACCTTCTAGGGCTTCCCTGGTGGTGCAGTGGTTGGGAGTCTGCCTGCTAATGCAGGGGACACGGGTTCGTGCCCTGGTCTGGGAAGATCCCACATGCCGCAGAGCAACTAGGCCCGTGAGCCACAACTACTGAGCCTGTGAGTCTGGAGCCTGTGCTCCGCAACAAGAGAGGCCGCGACAGTGAGAGGCCCGTGCACCGTGATGATGAGTGGCCCCCGCTCGCCACAACTAGAGAAAGTCCTCACACAGAAACGAAGACCCAACACAGCCAAAAATAATAATAATAAACAAATGTGGGTTTTAAAAAAACCTTCTAGAAGGACTCCATGATGAGCAAAGGGCAGCTAGTTTGAGGGAACTGGGGCAGGGGAGGTGCCTAGGTACTCCAGAAGGCCACGTGTCCTCCTCTGTGTAAAAGCATCTCCCTCTGCACTCTCTCAGCTTCCGAGCTCACCTAGCTCCCGTGTCTACAATTCCTCCAATCAGATACATGAATTTCTTCTCTTAACAAAACATGTATTTCCATTAACTTGTCTTTCTCTTCCTACCCGGCTGTGAGCAGCTGGATGGAGGGAATGTCAGTGTCGCTGAGGGGTGGGGAGGCCCTGGCAGACAGGCGGGGGCAGCGCCCTCTGCAGGAAGCCGCCGTGGGGCCGGCAGGACGAGCGTCAGCAAGTCCAAGAACAGAGCGGGCACAGGGCGCAAAGGCAAACCACCCAGCCCCAAATCTCTTAGGACAAATCTTACACCTCCCCCCTCCAGCAAAATGGCAAAACCGTGAAAAAGGCAAATGCTAAATTATTCCAGAAAAGCATAAAACCTGATGTGGCCACCAAAAATGCCAGTGATGGGGGTCTGAACAAAATCCGCCTGGCGAGTGACCGAAGTCTTGTTTCGGGGGCCCACTTGCTCCCATTCGTCCTCACTTCCTTCGACTGGTTCTTCTTGCTCGTCTTCGTTCACCGAGTGGCTTCTGGGTCCGTTGGAAACAGTAAGTTCTGAAAAGCAGACTCTGCTTAGGCTACTATTCACACAAAGAGCAAAAACTCAAAGTTCTACATAAACCACCTACACAGATTTGTCCACTGGAGCTTTCAAGTGAGATGCGGGTGTATTCTACACTGAGGACAAAAGCAATGTGTGTGATGGCACAGCATCCCCCTGCTGGTGTGAGCGGCGCGTGAAGGTGCCGTGGGACACCTGGAGAAGACGTCAGGCGGGACGGGGAAGCAGACTCTGCTGCGTAACTGCAGGTGGACCCCATCATTGGCGAAGGGACTCGGGCCACGTGGGAGAGCCATCCCTATCTCAGGAGACCCATGCTTTACCATTTGGGGTGAACTAAAATGCCATCTGCAACTTGATTTTGAATCCCTTGGGGAAAAATGTCGCGGGGGGCTGGGGAAGTAGAAAGAGGATCAATAAGGCGACACAGTAGCAACTGTGGAATCCACTGGTTACGCAGGTAACCAACCTATTCTTTCAGTTTTTCTCTATGTGTAATCATTTTCCTAATTACAAACTGAAGGGGAAAAAGCAGAGGTTCTGGAAATACATTTATGTATTTGAAATATACAAACAACATTCTCAGTGGTACACAATAAGCAATGTAAAAGTAACTAGTTACCTTAATGAGTAAATAAGTGATTTTTGAAGGGCGAATGACTGTTGGCGGGAAAGGCAGCTTAGTATATGAGCATACATATGGCATTTGTTTAAGAATAATTCTTAAGAAAATGTTCTAGCCAATTCTGTAGCAAGCACACCATAACCTACTTTCATTATTTGGTGAGAGAAGTTTCTTCAGGTTCAGCATTTCCTCGTGAAGTCCATTTAGAATGAAGCCTAAATACTCCTCAGCATCTTCTTGTCGACCCTGAGAAGGTCAAACAGGGTCACGTTAATCTTAACCAATTACTCTTCAAGGCCTGCACGGAATGTGTTACCTGCATATACAAACTATGCCTTCTCTTAAATTTTCAGTATGATTTAACAAAAAGTCTCTCCCAGAAATCACATGAATTTTTCTTTGGACAGTTAAGATGTGTGAAGTGGGGGAAGACTGGGTGTGCGAGCGGGGGAGGATTAAATATCTATCTCTAAGCAAAAGAACAGGGATTTCTTTTTAATTTTGCTTTTCTGTAATTTCGAAATTTTCTACAGTAAGTATACATTACCTTTATAATAAAAAAGTTATTTCACAAGTTGCTTTTTTGTTTAAATGAAACAGAATGCACAACCCCAGGGGTTACCACTCACACTGCAAGTTGTAAAACTAACAGCCCTGTATGTCTCCTTTGATTTTTGATGATGGGCAACCACAGGAGAAAGGACCCAAATTATACGTGAAAAACTCTATTGATTTAAAAAGCTGCCTGCTTTACACACATCAGTACAACCATTCGCAGATGAATCACACAATATGGTCACACAAGAGCTGTATAATCTTACACTGGTTTCATCTGATTATATAATTTATCATGATTGGTTCACATTTCATTCTTTGGAGCATAACGGCGTGAGTGTTCCAAGGATCTGCAAATTCTTCTGCTTGCGGTCTCTGAGTAGATCTGTTTGCTCCAAGGGAACTATAGCTGTGGACGGGGCTGTTTGGTGTGTGTGTGTCTGCGGGAAAGGGCAGAGGCTGGCACAGCCCAAGACGCAGCAAAGAGTTAACAGTGCTGGGAAAGGCCTGCTCGCTGGGCTGGTCCTTGGCTGGCATCTGGGAACTTGGATTTCAGGAGGGTTCCCACCATTCCAAGAACTGAAAAGGGAGCGTGCCAAATTGTGCCAACAGTGTGGTTTGTGCTGAGCACTGGCTTTCCCCCCAGGAGTCTGGACTGGAGTCTGTGAGAGGCAGAGGGTAGGGTGCCTATGTGAGCAGCCCCTAGCAAAACCCTAGGACACTGAGCTGCTGAGGAGCTTCCCTGGTGGACCACAAGCCACACAGCTGCCACAGTCTGACGTGGGAGGAACTGAGAGCGTCCTGTGTGGCTACGCCCGGAGACGAGTCTCCAGGTTTCCTGCAGACGCTGTCCGAGTCTTCACCCTGTGCCGATTTTGCTTTGTGTCCTCGGGCTGTACTGAATCCGAACTGAGGGTAACAGCTCCTGAGTCCCGTGAGACCTTCTAGCGAATCCTCGACCCTGAGGGTGGTCCTGCAGACCCCAACAAGCCACAAGTAATGTAACTTCGAAAGCTGCAGGATCTCAGCGCTGCTCAGCCACGAGAAGCATCCTGAGCTTTACCTCTGCTCCCCCTGAGCTGGGGGCCCGCCCCTGGCTTCTACAGCACCTGCGCACTCACCTGTCTTAGTGCTTCAAGTACTAACTCCCCTACTGGACGAGGCGCTCTTTGAAGCAGAGGGCACCGTTCACTCCATGCCCGCCTTCCTAACAGTAGCAACACCCCCAAATCCTGAGCTTAACAGCAAAGGCTAGGCCATGGGCACATGAAGAGCCCCCGGTGGTACGCGGCTGCAGTGCCCTGAGTACTCCCTCTTCTTCGAAACAAAGGGGCTGCAAACAATACTACTTTAGTCAGTTTTAACATAATTTCCTTGAATATTTCCTGAAGAATTGCCCTTTTCTAGCATCATTTCAATTGCTTGTACTGACTCATCACGAACTCTGTCGGGGAGGAAAGAAACGCTCCGGTTACCTGTGCGAAGGCTGCCCCTGATTTACCCCGAACGCCGTCAGGGCCCTTTACAAGACCTCCGTGGCCCTTGGCCCCATGCCTTCAGCAGCAAAGTGTACGATTAAAAGTGACGGCCCTGAGGGAGCGTGGAGAAGATGCGGCGCTCCTGAAGGCCCCCCTCCCGGCCGCAGCGCACTCCGTGCGGAAGTGAAGGAGCTAACTCCGCGCTGCCAGGCTCTGCCACTGCTTAGCTGTGACCTGGGACAATGACTTCCCTTTTCTCAAATGCAACAAGCAGACAATAATCACACTTTATTCACAGGGTTAAGTAAGTTAACGGATGGAACGAACTTACAGCAGTGGTTGGTCATAGTAAATGACACGAGTTGTCTCTGATTACCATCATTATCATCCCATACTCTAATTCATCCTAGCAACTGACTCCAGAGCAAGCCTAGATCCACTGAACACCCACTTAATCGCCGCAGTGCAAGCAGAGGGCAAGCACTGAATACGCAACAGGTAAGGCACAAGCGTCACGCTGGCTACGCAGCGGCAGCCCCAACCTTTTCGGACAGGCTCGACTTGATAACTGTCAGCAGTCTATAAATGTACGTGGGCTCAAAGGCAGCTCCCGGGCGGACGTCCCTCACGGCTTTATCCCCAGGAGCTGCAACGGAAACAGGACACAGATCTTTACAAGTCTTAACATGACAAAAGGCATAATCATCAAAGCTCCCCCAACACCCGACCAGTGCTGAGAATAGTATAGGTGTAGCAACCTGCATGTAAAGAGACATTTTCTTTCCAGCAAGCCTGAATTTCTCAAACTCAGTCACCTGACTTCATAACTCCCAAAATGTAATGGCATCGGAACCCTCGTTTTTACTCACCTTGTCTGGGTTTTGGAGGTACTGGCATATTAGTAAACTCATTCATTAGCCGAACACTAGACACGGGGGTGGGGGGGAAAAAATGTTTAGTACTTTTTTTTTTTAAAAGACATACTATTACTAAAAAGCCTTGATGGCTAAGTAGAACGTTATCTAGCATGAAGATAGCAAACTTTAGATAACCAATGCTGTAATAGTTAGTGAGCTCGTAAATCTTTTCTACGTAAGTTTTTGGTATATTTCAAGTGATATAATTTGGTAAACACTAAAATTTATTCAACTGAATCTAAAGAACACAGATAAACAATGTTCCAATTCCATTTCTGGTTAACTTCCATAGAAAATCATGAACAGCACATTAAAAAAAAAAAAAGGAATTACAGGATTCATTTGCAGGAAATCAAGAACTTTGCTATTTGAATCTAACTGTCAGAGGGGGAAAAGCCCACCCCTTAACACATTTTCAGCAGCTTACTTACAAGCTATCTATCATGGGTGTGGACGTACAAGGCCTTTGCACTTTTGAATACAGAGGAATGAACTTCATCAGGTGATACATCGGAGGGCAAGCAACCAGTGCCTGCAGTGTCTAAATGATGGCAGTAAGGAAGCGTAAAGGAAATAAAACCGATGCTCCAAACTGTGGAAAGGCACGTAAAACACAAGAGCGTATAAAACTAAGCAAGCCAAGGACACCGAACGACTTAGATACGTAAACACAAAGGGAATAAAACCAAATAATCCCGGGGATAACTGCCTTGTGATATCCAAGTAGTTTATAAGTAAGAACTGGATTCAACCAAGATAATCAAATCAATTAACACAGGATTTCCAGTTTAAGTGGTCACTCTGCCCTGTTATTCAGGACCATTTTAACGAGAAACTTGCCTGATTCTGTCAGTCACAGGTCAACAAATCATCTCTCTCTTTTTGGTCACGAATAGCCCAGTTAATAAGCAGTAAGAAACCGAGGTTTTGGATTCAAAATGTGGGGTAGACACCCCACAGAAGCGGAACTAAGTCGAATGTGCCCAAGGAAGAGGAAGCTGCAGAAAGCCAGCCTTGGGGACAGCCTCTGAGAAGGATACAGCATTAATGTAGCACCAGTTTCCTTTATTGATCAGCCCGCGGGGTTGCAATGACACTGGTTTATGAATCAGGGTTACGTTCTCCAGTAACTCTGAAAGAGGAAGCACAGTGAAGACGTTAATGGCATCTCGTGAACAACTCTCACGCTCTGCCCTGGGAGGGGACCCTCTTCAACAGAGCACATGTCACATCCAAAGCGAAGGCAGGCTGTGTTACAGTTTCGTTCCGTTCAACATCACGTAATTATTTAATGATTTAAATTTTCAAAAATATTTCCCCCCAAACACTTATGACATTTATTTACCTTCCTGTGATAATATCACTAGGGAGCACAAGGACTGTTTTAATAAGAAACAGAAAGGGCTTAAAAAACGATGTAACAGTATTCGGGAACAGACTTAAAAGATACAGGCTCTTTTAACAGTGACAGCTGGGCAGGCCTCCTTAATCAGACACCATCCAGAAAGGTGTTTACGTGCAGGACCCGTCTCATTCACGTCTGGATGCCCAGCACATCACAGTGGGTGTTCGGTGACTGTTCAGCAAGTGATGATCCCTCTTTTGGGGACAATTATCTCCTACTAACTGAACTGTATTTTCATCAGAAGTCCCACTCGGAATACTAAAATCCCTTATTCCATTTAGAAATAAGCTTCGTTATCCTCAGATTCACCTTTTGACATCACTCTTCCCCACAGTCTTAAAATAGCTGTAAATCCCATCTTTACAAAAGAATGCTTTAAATATTGGTAAGTAACTGGCCCTTTTTCTTTTTAGAAATGTTATAACAAGGTCTCCCCACGTCCCTTACGAAGCCTCTAACAGTGACAGCCACAATGTTTGGCTACCTTCTACTCTTGGCAAGTGCGTTACAACTTACAACGTTAACTCGCTGCACTTAATCCTCAGGGATCCCAGAGTACCACCAACCATCCCGCTTTCACCAAAAGGAAACAGAAGCTCAAGGTTAACTCGCCTGCCTGTGACCTCACAGGAGCCAGGCAGCACAGTCGGTACCCAAATCCATGACGTGCGGCCACACGACACAGCTCCACCCGTAACTTTTAGACTGTGTACTAGGGAGCACGCATTTGATATCAGCACCCACCACCCAAAGCATCACTCAAACAAAAGAAGCCTTTTTTTCCAGCCTTTTTTCCCTAAAAACACAGTTGCACTGGCAGGTGCCAGACTTAAGAATTAAATGAAGAAATTAATTTGCAAGATTCTAAGGTCAACACACACACTCCCTCCCTGTCTCCTGTGAGGGTAAATGCCCTCTCGCCTCTAACTGAGGAAGCACAGACAATAATTTCCCCATTTATTAAAAAGTGAAACATAAGCGACCCAAGAGAACCCATGGAATCTGCTCAGTTAGACTAAGCTTGCCAAGGTCCTCTTGTCTCTCTCACTACGGGGCACAGCGCTGGGCCTTCACGGAGGAACAGATCAGATACAGAACTGAACCACACGCCCACGTGACTGACACCCAGCACAGACACCGCTACGAGCTCCATCTGTATTATTCATAATCGACCTAACAACCCTGTCAAAGAGACACCGTTATCATCCTCATTTCACAGGTGACAAAACTGAGGTCCAGAGGGGTTAGGGAACTGGTGCAGGGTGCATGACTGAGCTGACATACGAGCCTGGGTCCCAGAAGCCAGGCTCTTTGCTCTCAGTAGACAATGGACTGCTTTAAGATCCTTTACTCTAAGGTTTCTGATACTAACTTTTCCCCACAAGCTGAAGATCTTCCTCTCACAGGGGATTTTTACATCCGTCTTTGAGCCATTTTATCACAACAGCCCATAATTTCCAATGTGTGTCACAGAATGGCAATTATTTCGTATACTTACTCTGCAAAATATCTGTGCATTTCCAAACAAGCATCAGTCCGAAATGAACGCTCCATCAAGACACCTGTGAATCTTTGCCATAGTATTTTTATATCTAAAAACAATATTAAGCTTTCACATAACCATACAACTCAAAACCAACTGCCTTCCTAACACAAGGACCTCTGATAAATGACATGCTGCAGTTGGCTAAGCTTTGCCTGGGCACCAGGACCTGCAGGTGCAGAGATGACTGAGCGGTGGCCCTGCTGTAGCAGGACCTGCAGACCAATGAAGAAGGGACCACACAGTGCAGGCTAAGCTGGGTGGGGGCAGTGGCGGGGATACCCCGCCCTATCCAAGAACGGGAGAAACCTGAGGTGGCCAGGGGCCTGTGACAGCAAATGGTACCAGGAGAACGTCTCCAGCTTGGGGTGATGGTGCCTTCCACCCAGAGGAGAGATGCCACAGGACAAGTGGGTTCTTTCCTGCTTTGGGCAGTGATGAAATAAGTTCAGTTTTAAGAGTTTTAGAGGCTCGGATAAAAAGGTACGTGGAAGACACCAGTAAACAGTACACTGACACTCACAGACCAGCCAGTAACATACACACACACACACACACACACACACACACACACACACACACACACACGACCCTGCAGCTCGGGGCCTGAACTGTACATTCTGACAGCAGTGGGTCAGAAGCAGAACCCTAAGCACCACCCACGTCCAAGTGACAGGCTAAGGAGAATCCGTAACGGTGATCTAGAAGGATAGGGCAGCTGGAATCAGTAGTGGAAGCAGAAGCACGTTCGAGGGCCTCAAGGAGGAAAGCAAGAGTGGAGACCACTCATGCAGGCTCCCCTGGCCAGGAGCCTGGCTGAGGAGTAAGACAAAAGAAGGGGGTCACTAAGGGGCTCCCAGGATCGCAGAAGGGAAGGAGCTAGGGAAGGGCAGACTCACCACAGTTTACGGTGGGGAAAGAAATGAAATAGCAACCTCAATTTTCTTGATGACACTGGAAGCAAAGTCTCCCGGGGTTGGGGGCAGGGGTGAAGATGGGAGGGGAAGTGGCTTGACAGTATATCAATTCCTGTTCAATACAGACACTGAAGGAAAACAGAAAGAAAAGGATCAGGGGCAGGCATGCAAGATCTGAAACTTCCCTTCCATGCATCTGTTTTAACAGACTCAAAAATAAGTTTATACGTAGTCAAAAGTGCTTTGGATACATATCTTGTTAAACTAAAAACAATCATTTATGACAGGCCAGCTCCACTCTCAAAGGGGAAGCAAGGGGCTTCCCTGGTGGTGCAGTGGTTAAGAATGTGCCTGCCAGCGCAGCGGACGTGGGTTCGAGCCCTGGTCCAGGAAGATCCCATGTGCCGTGGAGCAACTAGGCCCGTGCGCCACAACTACTGAGCCTGAGCCCTTACAGCCCACGAGCCACAACTACTGAAGCCCACACGCCTAGAGCCCGCGCTCCACAACAAGAGAAGCCACCGCAATGAGAAGCCCGCGCACCGCAACGCAGAGTAGCCCCCGCTCGCCGCAACTAGAGAAAGCC